GGATACTTTTTGTGTGACGTACTACCCTTTCGATGCCGACGGTAATATTGGAACAGGTGTGAATACCTGCATTATCGTTGGAGCACTGGGAACCGATGCTAATAATGCCTGGTTGCAAAATGAATGGAAGGTCACGTGCATTTGGGTCGAAAATAGCCCCCTGGCTAACTTTACTGATACAATCACTTATAATAAATGGGTGGCTGCACAAGACTATAAATGTTTAGTAGCCGGAAACTTTCTCGTCCCTACAAATGATGGTGACCCCGAAACTCTGATCAATGATTCTATATATTACCGGCAATTTAATATGAGATTTGGAACAAACGGTGCAATGGATTCTCGTTACATAACTGATTATAAAGAACTAGATGAAACAAACAGTACATGTTCCGACTTTCAATATTTACCGGTGGAGAGAGATTCAACGATCACAACAGGTGGATGGTCGTATGATCCCGTTACAAAAAGATTGCTTACCATCACGGAATTTGACAATAACGGTGTACCCGAACCAGCATTATCCATATACAATGTAACAAGGATAAATAATAACCACTGTATTTTAGGCGCCTTTGATAATATTGTTGGTGAAGTACATTTTCGAATGGAGCGTTAATAATTCAAAATAAAAAGAGGAATTCCGTTGGGAACTCCTCTTTTTTATTCTATTTATCAGCAATTACTGTCCAATCCCACTGCTGCTCTGCGTACGTTTTGACTCCTCTTCAGAAGCCAGCTTACGCTGACGCGCTGCTTTCACCGTGTTACTACCAAATCTCCACGTAAAGCTCGCCCTTAACTGGCGGCTCTCATTATATCCATTGACCAGGAACTTTTGACCGGCAAAATTGCTTTCGCCTTTCCACTTAATACTATAAAAAATATCAGTTACAGACAACTTGAAGTTACCTTTTCCTTTGAGTATCGGCTTTTGCACACCACCATCGACGCTCCACAACGCGTTGCTCTTAAAGGTGCCACCCCAAACAGAAGGCGTAGTAGCCCAGCCACTGACTTCTGCCGCCCAGCCTTTCTTGCCAATCTTCAGGCTGTTCTGCATATAAATAGTAGCCGCGTATTGTTTCAATTCATAGTCCGTTTTCGAAATACCTATTCCCTTTGCCTTGTAATGTGAATAATTAGCATTCACATTTGCAAACAAGCTGTAAGACTTATATTGGAAAGGATAACTCACAGACAGGTTGAACACATTCTGCGTAGCAAGGTTTTGCTTAGACATAATCGCTTTTGATACCTCTACAACATCCGGTAACTGAACAAAAATATCAGCAACATGGCTATAGCTCAGTGAAGTCGTAAGCCTGTATTTGTACGTATTTGTCAACGAAACGATATTAG